TATAGATGTACACCTATATTGTTCCTGCACCTTATAACTGATTGTTCTTTTACTCTCCACTCACAGGCAGTCACCACCAAATTGGACCTTCCAGAGGAGCTGATTGGTTACTTTAGCCTGTACCTCATTAAAGATGGAGCAGATGGCTCGTTCTCCTGTAAGTCTGCATATATATGTATACCGTACGGGAACAATTATATAATTTTTTGCATTACACGAAAGGGAAAGATTTGGTGGTGGGGAGGGCTGCGCCCTGCTGATATGAGTGGTTGGGAGGTCTGTGACTTGCAGGTGGGTGGTTCATGTGCGCTGTGGGTTGGTGGTTTAGAAGGGATCGGGGAGGCCTGTGGGTTGGTGGTTTGGAGGGGGTCGGGGGAGGCCTTGCGCCCTGCCGGTGGAGGGGGTCGGGGAGGCCTTGCGCGCCCTGCCGGTGGAGGGGGTTGGGGAGGCCTTGCGCCCTGCCGGTGGAGGGGGTCGGGGGGCCTTGCGCCCTGCCGGTGGAGGGGGTCGGGGAAGGGGGAGGCCTTGCGCCCTGCCGGTGGAGGGGGGTCGGGGAGGCCTTGCACCCTGCCGGTGGAGAGGGTCAAGGAGGCCTTGCGCCCTGCGGTGGAGGGGGTCAAGGAGACCTGCGCCATGCTGGTGGAGGGGGTCGGGGAAGCCTTGCACCCTGCCGGTGGAGAGGGTCAAGGAGGCCTTGCGCCCTGCCGGAGGAGGGGGTCGGGGAGGCCTTGCTCCCTGCCGGTGGAGGGGGTCGGGGAGGCCTTGCTCCCTGACGGTGGAGGGGGTCGGGGAGGCCTTGCGCCCTGCTGGTGGAGGGGGTCGGGGAGGCCTTGCGCCCTGGCGGTGGAGGGGGTCGGGGAAGCCGGCACCCTGCGGTGGGGGAGGATAGTCTGCAGTGGGTAGTCAGGGTGGCATGTTGGCGGGTGTCGCTGATCCTCACAGAATTGTCCTCCCTCTGCAGTTGTTCGGAAGCTGCAAGAGTTCGAACTGCCATATGTGTCAGTGACCAGTCTCCGCAGTAGAGAATACAAGATTATTCTCCGGAAAAGGTAAATTCCTCTGATTACATCTTAAAATGAATGTCATCAACACATATCAACCATAGATGGAGAGATGATACCTTCACAGTTACCAGTAGGGTAGGTTACACCAGATGCTTATTTTTGTACATTGCTTGTTTTTTTGTCTATACAGCCAGGAGGACGCTGGCATTGTGTTGACCTCAAGTGTTCATACACAGACCCTCTGCTGTACATCTGTGGATGACTGATCTACACATGTCCATGTCCTCCTCCCACCACAGTGTCAAATCACATCTGTTTTCCCTGGTCAGCGTACATATATACAGTGACCGCTCAACATGCCATCTAGTCTCGAATGAGTGATGGTGTTGAAGAGTCTTCCTATATAACAGTGATGGCGAATGGCCCTATGGCACGCAGAGCCATCTCAGTGGGCACGCCAGGAAGAAGAGGATGATGAGCGCGCATGGACCGGCCATCCAGATCTCGTCCACACTGGATCCCCATCAAACTACATTTCCCACATGTCTCTGGGGCCAGGGTGGGCGTGGACGAGAGGAAACGGCTCCAATGCGGCTCTGGCACCAGGGGTGATGTACCCGGGGATTGGCGCGGAAGAGAGGAAGAGGCTCCCACACTGCTCCCACACTGCTCCGGGGCCAGGGGCAACGTGTTCAGAGTGGATGGGAATGAGCTGCTGGGTTGGAAGCCACACCGACGCTGCCAGAGGTGAGATTAACTGCTTGCAGTGTCATCCATCAGTGCCCAGCAGTGTCGCCTGTCAGTGCCCAGCAGTGTCGCCCATCAGTGCCATCCATCAATGATGCCCAGCATCCATCCATCAGTGCCCAGCAGTGCCACCTGTCAGTGCTGCCCAGCAGTGCCACATGTCAGTGCCCAGCAGTATCGCCCATCAGTGCCACCCATCAATGATGCCCAGCAGTGTCGCCTGTCAGTGCTGCCCAGCAGTGTCGCCTGTCAGTGCTGCCCAGCAGTGTCGCCTGTCAGTGCTGCCCAGCAGTGTCGCCTGTCAGTGCTGCCCAGCAGTGTCGCCTGTCAGTGCTGCCCAGCAGTGTCGCCTGTCAGTGCTGCCCCAGCAGTGCCACCTGTCAGTGCCCAGCAGTGTCGCCCATCAGTGCTGCCCAGCAGTGTCACCCATCAGTGCCCAGCAGTGTCACCCATCAGTGCTGCCAGCAGTGTCACCCTGCAGTGCTGCCCAGCAGTGCCGCCTGTCAGTGCTGCCCAGCAGTGCCACCTGTCAGTGCTGCCCAGCAGTGCCACCTGTCAGTGCCCAGCAGTGTCGCCCATCAGTGCTGCCCATCAGTGCCACCCATCAATGATGCCCAGCAGTGCCACCGATCAGTGCCGTCTGTCAGTGCGTCCAGGTAGGCAAGTGGTTAATTGCAGTGTTGGCACTTTGAAATAAAAAAGTTGGTTTGTGTTGCAGTTTTGGGCACTCGGGCTCAAAAAGGTTCGCCATCACTGCTATATAATAATAAAAAGTCATGTTGACAATAATGTTTATTTCAGTCTCTAAATTTTTTGCTCTGGTAATGTTGGGGATGGCTTTCAGAACCTTCCCATCAGAAGACATGCTTTCAATTTCCATGTAGCTGAAACAGCTTGATACAGCTCTCAGGTTTCTTGTAGTTGATAGTGCTGTAGGTCTCTGGATCTTCTGGTCTGGTGTTGGATGTTCAGAATGGATCTCAGAATGTTCTCCTGAGTTGATACAGCTTCTCAGGTTTCTTGTAGTTGATAGTGATGTAGGTCTGTAGATCTTCTGGTCTAGTGGTGCTATTAAGGATGAATCTCCGAACCTTCTCCTGGGATGATGAGATGATACAGCTCTCAGGTGTCTTGTAGTTGATAGTGATGTAGGTCTCTGAATCTTCTGGTCTGGTGGTGATGTTAGGGACGGATCTCCAAACCTTCTCCAGAGATGATACAGCTCTCAGGTTTCTTGTAGTTGATAGTGATTGTCAGGAATGGACTGGCCAGCTATGGTGGGACTCACCTGCCTTTTGATCTGCAGTACCAGGGCTGGCCAGCGGGTGTTCCCAGCAATCAGAGACTCAACTTTGCAGCCAGCTAACACCTGTAACTGATTATGCTGGGGTATTTAAGGGATGGCCAGACCCACAGACTCTGCCTTGGTGTGTGTTTGTCCTGGGTCCTGCATCCTGTTTCTGTCCTGTTTCTGTCCTCCCTGTTTCTGAACCGCTGCTGACTTCTCCTGCTCTGATCCCGGCTCGCTCCTGACCATCCCTCTGTCTGACCCTCTGTACCACGCTGCTTGCTACCTGTTCTGATCCCTGGCTTGTGACCCTGACCAATCTCCGCTTGCTCCCCCTGTACCTACCTGCCCTATTGATATTGACCCGGCCTGCCTGACGACGCTTGCTTGTATGTACTGTTATCTGTGGGTGGTTTGGTTTGGTTTGTTTGCACTGTGTTATGTTTTAGTATTGCACTGCGTTTATGTTTGTATTGTTAGTGTTAATAAATTATATATTGTTTATAACATATCTGAGGTCTGCGTTTCCCTGCGTCAGTCACACATCTCTGGTCACACCTGGGAGCCCTGACATTACACCAAGGCCAATCCTGACCAGAAGTGGCTGCACAGGGAAGCCATCTTGGTTTGTTGATGGGAAGGATGGATCTGGATGAGGTTGTGTATTTATATCTGCTAGTGTTTGATGACAGAGAGTATGCTTATCAGACTCTGAAGGAGTATCCCCGGGATGAACTGCTAGAATGTATACGGCTCGCTCATGTTCTAGTAGATCAGGGCACAGATTTCTCTATGGTGCAGCCATTGATTCAGGTTTGTGTTGAGTTGGTTTCATCTGGTTCCCCCGAATGCAGGGATGAATTTTTGCCACCATTTAGTGCAGACCAGGTTGAGTCCCTGGTGTGGTTATTAGAGGATGATGTGGGTTACTTTCTGGAGCGTTATTCCACATGTTCACCACAGACACTAAGAGATTGTATAAACGCAGTGCAGTCATTGACCAGACAGGCTTTGTGTAAGCTCAGCTTTGTTCAACCCATACTGCAGACATGGACAGATTTGTTGCACCCAGCCTCAGTCAGCTTACAAAGACCCAGTCCTGCTTCTAACTCTACTCCTGTATTCCCACCAGCTCCTCCAGTTACAGCCCAGTATACTTGGCTATCTACCGCATGTCAGTACCCTGTTCCCACTCGCTGCACCTATCCTGCCTTTAACCCTGTAAAAAAGCCCTCTGTAGCAACTGCTCCCTCTCCTGTTCCATCCTCCAGTTCTTCTCTGTCTCCAGCTGCTCCATTCGTTTGCAGACCTGCGTTTACTTGCAGTGCTCCAGTAGTTAAAACCAGAAAAAAGCGAAAATTCTTTCCAACCAATACCATCCTGCCAGTATCCAAACCGGTGAACCTGCCTTCCGTGACTCAGCCTGAAGCCTCTACTCGCCTAAAGCCTCTACTCGGCCTGAAGCCTCTACTCGGCCTGAAGCCTCTACTCGGCCTGAAGCCTCTACTCGGCCTGAGCCTCTACTCGGCCTGAAGCCTCTACTCGGCCTGAAGCCTCTCCTCGGCCTGAAGCCTCTCCTCGGCCTGAAGCCTCTCCTCGGCCTGAAGCCTCTCCTCAGCCTGAAGCCTCTCCTCAGCCTGAAGCCTCTCCTCAGCCTGAAGCCTCTCCTCAGCCTGATGCCTCTCCTCAGCCTGATGCCTCTCCTCAGCCTGATGCCTCTCCTCAGCCTGATGCCTCTCCTCAGCCTGATGCCTCTCCTCAGCCTGAAGCCTCTCCTCAGCCTGAAGCCTCTCCTCAGCCTGAAGCCTGCATTCAGCCTGATGCCGCTACTCAGCATGATGAACTGATCCAGCCCGACGATCCTATCAGGCCAGTTGACTCGATGCCCGCTGTTGATCCAGATGATCCGGTACCTGATCCAGTGCCCGCTGTCGTGCCAATTGACTCAGAGCCCGCTGTCATACCTGGTGACCCGGTGCCCACTGCCTTGCCAGATGACGCGGTGCCCGCTGGCAAGCCAGATGACCTGATGATGCCTGGTGACAGTGCCCGCTGTCATACCTGGTGACCCGATGCCCGCTGTCGAGCCAGACAATCCGATACCTGATGACCCGGTGCCCACTGTCGTGCCTGTTGACTCGGAGCCCACTGTCTTGCCAGACGACTTGGTGCCCGCTGTTCCGCCAGTCGACTCGGTGCCCGCAGCCTTGCCAGACGACTCGGTGCCCGCAGCCTTGCCAGACGACTCGGTGCCCGCAGCCTTGCCAGACGACTCGGTGCCCGCAGCCTTGCCAGACGACTCGGTGCCCGCAGCCTTGCCAGACGACTCGGTGCCCGCAGCCTTGCCAGACGACTCGGTGCCCGCAGCCTTGCCAGACGACTCGGTGCCCGCAGCCTTGCCAGACGACTCGGTGCCCGCAGCCTTGCCAGACGACTCGGTGCCGCAGCTTGGTGACTCGGTGCCCGCAGCCTTGCCAGACGACTCGGTGCCCGCAGCCTTGCCAGACGACTCGGTGCCCGCAGCCTTGCCAGACGACTCGGTGCCCGCCGCTTCGTCTGGGGGCCCGAGACCTGTTGCTCCGCCTGAGGGCCCGAGACCTGTAGCTCCGCCTGGGGGTCCGGCGCCCGCCGCTCCGCCTGAGGGCCCGAGACCTGTAGCTCCGCTGGGGGGGTCCGGCGCCCGCCGCTCCGCCTGGGGGTCCGGCGCCCGCCGCTCCGCCTGGGGGTCCGGCGCCCGCCGCTCCGCCTGGGGGTCCGGCGCCCGCCGCTCCGCCTGGGGGTCCGGCGCCCGCCGCTCCGCCTGGGGGTCCGAGGCCTGTAGTTCCGCCTGGGGGTCCGGCGCCCGCCGCTCCGCCCGGGGGCCCGAGGCCTGTAGTTCCGCCCGGGGGTCCGGCGCCCGCCGCTCCGCCCGGGGGCCCGAGGCCTGTCGCCCCGCCCGGGGGCCCGCTGCCTGCTGCTTTCGCCTGGTAGCCCGATGTGCCCGATGTGCTCTGCCCGGGGTCCGGCCCGGTGTGCCCTCTGCCCGGAGTCCGGCCCGGTGTGCCTCTGCCCGGTGTGCCTCTGCCCGGTGTGCCTCTGCCCGGTGTGCCTCTGCCCGGTGTGCCTCTGCCCGGTGTGCCTCTGCCCGGTGCCTCTGCCCGGTGTGCCTCTGCCCGGTGTGCCTCTGCCCGGAGTCCAGCCCGGTGTGCCTCTGCCCGGAGTCCAGCCCGGTGTGCCTCTGCCCGGAGTCCAGCCCGATGTGCCTCTGCCCGGAGTCCAGCCCGATGTGCCTCTGCCCGGTGTACCACTGCCCGGGAGTCCTGCCCGGTGTGCCAGTCTTTGATATCCCGCCAGTTACCAGACCCGGGCGGTGGAACATTTTTCCCAGCTAGGACTGTTTGGAGCGTCCTGAGGCCGCTCCTTGAGGGGGGGGTACTGTCAGGAATGGACTGGCCAGCTATGGTGGGACTCACCTGCCTTTTGATCTGCAGTACCAGGGCTGGCCAGCGGGTGTTCCCAGCAATCAGAGACTCAACTTTGCAGCCAGCTAACACCTGTAACTGATTATGCTGGGGTATTTAAGGGATGGCCAGATTCACAGACTCTGCCTTGGTGTGTGTTTGTCCTGGGCCCTGCATCCTGTTTCTGTCCTGCATCCTGTTTCTGTCCTGCATCCTGTTTCTGAACCGCTGCTGACTTCTCCTGCTCTGATCCCGGCTCGCTCCTGACCATCCCTCTGTCTGACCCTCTGTACCATGCTGCTTGCTACCTGTTCTGATCCCTGGCTTGTGACCCTGACCAATCTCCGCTTGCTCCCCCTGTACCTACCTGCCCTATTGATATTGACCCGGCCTGCCTGACGACGCTTGCTTGTATGTACTGTTATCTGTGGGTGGTTTGGTTTGGTTTGTTTGCACTGTATTATGTTTAGTATTGCACTGCGTTTATGTTTGTATTGTTAGTGTTAATAAATTATATTGTTTATAACATATCTGAGGTCTGCGTTTCCCTGCGTCAGTCACACATCTCTGGTCACACCTGGTGTAGGTCTCTGGATCTTCTGGTCTGGTGGTGATGTTAGGGATGAATCTCCAAACCTTCTCCTGAGCCAAAGAGATGATTCAGCTCTCAGGTTTCTTGTAGTTGATAGTGATGTAGGTCTCTGGATCTTCTGGTCTGGTGGTTGATGTTCGGAATGGATCTTGGAATCTTCTCCTGAGTTGATACAGCTCTCAGGTTTCTTGTAGTTGGTAGCGATCTAGGTCTCTGGATCTTCTGGTCTGGTGGTGATGTTAGAGATGGATCTGCAACCTTCTTGAGAGATACTACAGCGCTCAAGTTTCTTTTAGTTGATAGTAATGTAGTCTGGTGGTGATATTAGAACCTTCTCCTGAGATGATTTAGCTCTCAGGCTTCTTGTAGTTGTTAGTAATGTAGGTCTCTGGATCTTTTGGCCTGGTGGTGATGTTAAGGATGGATCTCTGAACCTTCTCCTGAGATGATACAATTCTCAGGTTTCTTGTGGTTGATAGTGATGTAGGTCTCTAGATCCTCTGGTCTAGTGGTGATGTTAGAGATGGATCTCCGAATCTTCTGAGAGAATACAGTTCTCGGGTTTCTTGTGGTTGGTAGTGAAGTAGGTCTCTGGATCGTCTGGGTGATGTTATGGATCTCTGAACCTTCTCATGATATGTTACAGCTTTGTTTTCTTGTGTTTTGATAGCTGTTTGTTTCAGTCTCTGGATCTTCTGGTGCAATTATGTTATTGATGAATCTCCAAACTTTCTCATCAGATGACCGCTCTCAGGTTTCTTGGATGATGATAGTGATGCTAGTTTTAGGTCTCTGGACTTCCTAGTCTGGTGATGTTAGGGATGAATCTCCAAACATTCTCATGATGATGTCATTGGTTAGACATGAGTCTGATGTGGTAATGTTAAGGATGGTACAGCTCTAATATCCTCATATGATGATTGTTTTAACTCTTTGGATCCATAGATCTGTCATTTACTGGTCATTTCTCATGTTGAGTTTTCTTCCTATAGTTACTGGGATTCCTCATATGATGAGGACGTCATGGAAAGCAGAGTGGGCCTGAATCTCTTGTATGCTCAGGTACGTCGCCTCTGTGGATTTATGGAGTAAGACTGGAGTCCTACAGCCTATGAAGGAAGACATGCCTGGGGAGCAATGATTAGTGGCCGCACTGGGGTACTCCTTGTCTAGTAAATTAGGAGTAGTGGCAGCTCTGAGTACATGTTGGCTAGCAGATTAGGATGAGGCAGATCTGGATTCACATTGTCTAGGGGTTTGGATTAGTGGCAGTACTAGAGACACATTATCTGGGGAGCTGGGATTAGGCAGTTCTAGGTTCACATTGTCTAGGGAGGTGGGATTAGTAGAAGTTCTGGGTACACATTGTCTAGGGAGGTGAGATTAGTGGATGCTCTGGGTACACATTGTCTAGGGAGGTGGGAATGGGTGGAAGTTCTGGGTACACATTGTCTAGGGAGGCGGGATTAGTGGAAGCTCTGGGTACACATTGTCTAGGGAGGTGGGAATGGGTGGAAGTTCTGGGTACACATTGTCTAGGGAGGTGGGAATGGGTGGAAGTTCTGGGTACACATTGTCTAGGGAGGTGGGAATGGGTGGAAATTCTGGGTACACATTTTCTAGGGAGGTGGGCTTAGTGCAAGTTATGGGTACACATTGTCTATGGGATTAGTGGAAGTTCACACATTGTCTAGGGAGGTGGGATTAGTGGAAGTTCTGGGTACACATTGTCTAGGGAGGTGGGAATATTGTCTGGAAATGGGTGGAAGTTCTGGGTACACATTGTCTGGGTAGTCTAGGGAAACGGGATTAGTGGAAGTTCTGGGTACACATTATCTAGGGAGGTGGGATTAGTGGAAGTTCTGGGTACACATTTCTAGGGTGGTGGGCTTAGTGGAAGTTCTGGGTACACATTGTCTAGGGAGGTGGGAATGGGTGGAAGTTCTGGGTACACATTGTCTAGGGCGGTGGGCTTAGTGGAAGTTCTGGGTACACATTGTCTAGGGAGGTGGGATTAGTGGAAGTTCTGGGTACACATTGTCTGTGGCATGGGTGCTCAAACTGTTGCCCTCTAGCTGTTGTGGAACTACAAATCCCGTGAGGCATTGCAATGCTGACAGTTAAAAGCATGACTCCCAAAGGCAGATGCATGATTGGACTTGTAGTTCTGCGACACCTGGAGGGCCACAGGTTAGCACCGATGGTCTAGGGAGTTAGGAGTTGGAGACCACTTTGGGTACAGATTGTCTAGGGCAGGGGTCTCCAATCTTTCTAAATAAAAGGGCCAGTTTACTCTCCTACAGACTTTTCAAGGGCCAGACTGCAGCCAGTGGGAGTAGAAAAGGTCCCGATGTGAGTAGGAAAAAAATAATACCCCTTTGTTTGGTGTCAGTGGGAGGAATTCTGCCCCACCATTGATGTCATTGGACCCTATCATTTGTTTCACATTGTGCCCTATTGTTGGTGTCATTTGAAGGAGTTGTGCCCCCTTCATTAGTGTAAGTGGGGGGAATTACACCCAAGTGTTGATATCAGTATATGAAATAGTGCCCCAAGGGCTAGATAAAAGCATGTAAAGGGCCCCATCTGGCCCCTGGGTCACAATTTGGAGACCACTGGTCTAGGGCTATAAGAATGGTGGCAGTACGCACAGTTTGCTGAGTTAGGATTAGCGTCATTGCTGGGGTATACATTGTCCAAGGAGTTAGGTGTCAGTGGTCAGTTACAGATTAACTGGTGACCGGTTGGCCACAGTTGTCACAGGTTCATTTTCATCTCCAAATCGCAGAATGGGAAACAAAATGACCACGGCGGAGGAGAGATTGGTTGTAGACAGGCAGAGGTCTCCAGCTTTGGGGCCGGGTTCTGGGGTGGAGGGGTTCTCTGATTGTTCCAGCTACATGATTGTCACACTTCTCCACTTTTGTCAGACGGTCAGCGATATTGAGCGTGGCTGGATACAGGTGAACAAAGAGCAACATCGACAGCTCAAATCTCTGCAGGAGAAAGTCTCCAAGAAGGAGGTATGTTCCAAGGGGGTCATATAACACCCATAGGAGGGGAGTACGCCTGTCCAAGGGGAGATAGGGCAGTTATGTCTGTAGGTGGACGGGGGTGGAGAACTGTTGAAATTGGCCAGTGGGTCACTGTGTGGCCTCCAGCTGTATTGGCAAAACCATTGTTGAGCTAGGCCAGTGGGTTACAGGATATTATTGTATGACCTCCTGCTTTATGGTCCATACCATACTGAGATTGGCCATAACCTCCAGTTGCATGGTCAAATTGTTCAATATTCTGAGATTGGCTAGTAGGCTATATTACCATGAGCCCTCCCACCTGTGTGGCCTCAACCTTTCATCACACTAGGATTGCCCAGGGATTTATACCTTTTGCTGTGAAGTGTCTTTTGATCAAACTGTACTCTCCCTCCTTCTTGGCACAGTTCATCCAGTTGGCACAGACATTGAAGTATTACGGGTATCTGAAGTTTGAGCCCTGTATCACCGACTTCCCGGAAAAGGGTTGTCACGTGATCGTGAGCGCCGGAAACAATGAACTCAACTTTCAAGTGAAACTCCCCAACGAGCAAATGAAGGAAGGCAGCTTCAAAGTCACCCGCATGCGTTGTTGGCGTGTCACCTCCTCGGTACGTCACCCCCTGTCAAGTGACCTGCTTCTCTTTAGTGTCTACAGCAGTGAAGGAAGAGGCTAAGGTCCTTCTCTCACATAGAGGGATTCCATGAGTCATATATACTTCCATATAATGTAGGAAATTATTAAACAGAAAAGTGAACGCACACACAGAGACTTGGTATTACCATATATGGGTGTCCTAGGACAGGAAGTTCTGTTTTTGCCATATATGGTTGTGCTAGAACAGGGAATGACCATATATAGTGTGTGTGTATATATGTATATATATATTTTGTGTCTGTATATAAACAGAATTCCTTGCTCTAGAACGGCCATATATAATACTAACAGGACTCCCTGTTAATAAAGGGACTTCCTGTTATAGGATGACCAAGTAGGGTAATAAAGGGACTTCCTGTTTTAGGATGACTAAGTAGGATAATAAAGGGACTTCCTGTTCTACGACGACCAAGTAAGGTAACAAAGGGAATTCCTGTTCTATGACGACCTTGTAGGGTAATAACTGGACTTCCAGTTCTACGACGACCAAGTAGGGTAACAAAGGGACTTCCTGTTCTATGATGACCAAGTAGGGTAATAAGGGGACTTCCTGTTTTAGGATGACCAACTAGGTTAA